TATCTACGTCTACTACTACGTGTAGAAGTCAAGTTGTTGGCATCGAACGAGACGTGATCGAGGCCTCACTTTCGAAGTTGCCTGCAGTACTCGGTCAGTCAGTTGGATTATGGCTTGGTCGCTTTCCTAACGACGAACGGGCCATGCTTTTACCAACGAGACGATGCTTTTACACGCGCGTGACGTGCCGTTTTCATTGACGTATTACAGGTAGGTATACGCGATAAGTCAAAGAGAAATAAAGAGAACGGGAATGAGGTAGTATAGTCTGCTTTGCTAGCGATATAGAAACGATCGAATCAATAGGAAAAGCTATGTTCGTTCCTTCCTCCTTTCCTCCCTTCCTTCCTTCCTTCCTTACTTACTTCCTTCGAAAAGGGATAACTTATTGAGAAAGTACCAGAGAAACGCAAACTTTACCTTCTCTAGAAACTTCAATCATTCGGCTCACCGATCCAGATATATTTCACTGTCATTTACTTTATATCCTCTTTCAACTACTCACCTCCAACCTTCCTCCCCTTTTAACGACCCTCGGAGTTCTTCTAATTTTCTAAAAAGATCCCGCGAGATATTCCCCCTTCCTTCTACTCCCTAACCTTCATCGATCTTACATTAGATACTTACGTATCTACACGAATTAAATTCCACTCACTTGATTTCTTTTGGAAAAAATTATTTTCTCGTTATCACATCTATAAACTAAATCACACACATACATAAACAACGAGATATTAAATATTATTAATTACGCAAATGAGATATTAACTAACGTTAAAGCTTCATGTTTAACGCGAGCGCGAAAGAGAAAATAAAAATCAACGTAATCTTTTTCTTCTTCTGCGAGGTGAAACGGAAGTTGTGGGTATACCTCGAAACGTGCCGAGGCTGCGTGCCGATTTTACTTTCGTACGGTGGTATTATTGCGGTGACGACGGGCATCATTTAAACGATCGAATTCCATCCTCGTGCCTTCACGAATATTCCTCCTGTCTACGATGTACATTTACACCAACAGTACCAACACTACATGTTATTCCTTTCTTACCAAGGAATCCTTCAATTCCTAAATTAATCGAATATTGTCAGATTATTCGAAAGATACTAATACTAAATTTATCTTTTAATTGTTTATATATAATGTTCAATATAATTTCAATTAAATGAAATCCTTCTATAATATTCTCATCGTTATTTCTTGTTTGCATAATAATACACAGAAAAATATCGATACAAGACGAATTAAAATATGTGAATCACGTTCATGGGTCATCGAACTTTTTCAAAGTCGTCGTCGTAGTCAGACACTTTTTAACCAACAGACTCTCGTCAAAATCTTTCTCTCGTGCATTATCTGGTATACCAGTATACCTACAATGATTCGTGTTCTCTTATTTTCGTTCATTTCAACTTTCAAACCAAAGCCGCTTCTTCCAAAGCGTTGTATATCATCACTCGTTCAAAGGGACATCAAGAATCGGGGAGGTATGCTTTGAATGAAAGAACTCCTCATGATGAGAGAATCAAGGGTAGAAAAGTAAAGAGAAAAGAGAGGTACGGGGAAAGAGAAGGGAAATAGAATCGATCTCGACCGCAAATCTCACGCGAGATGCATTTAGAGAACCAACATCGTCGAATCAATTTTCTAACAAATCGAAAGAGAGGAATACGATTTACCTCATCGGTGTTGTGGCACCGATCTTTCACTAAGGAAAATCTAAAACACTTCCTGGAGAATTCCTGACACTCCAAGTGGGTCGTATATCGGAAGAAACGAAAGTTCAAATGCGAGTATCGTACGTGTTACGAATCGATTGTTATCGGCATTGACGATTGTGTGTTCCTTGGTGAAACGAAAGGAAAGTTTAAACTCTTTAAATACATTACGATTAATTGTCGATGAACTCACGTGATAAACCTATAATGATTAACGCCAAATTTTCTATCTATAATTTGACGTTGAAAATAATTATGTTTAATTAATTGTAGAAAGACAGCACAAAAAAGAAATTGAGTTATAATATTAAAAAAAAAAAAAAAGAAAAAAATTAAAAAAATATTGCCAAGTGAATTATTATGATAGATCAATTCGCGTATGGAAATAAAGTTGAATTCATTTTTCATAAATCTCGAATGGGAACGAGCACGTGGCCGACTTTGACAGTTGTCGAGTCAGTATTCTTTTCAATTCCGACTAGTAAACATCGCAAATCTCTCTCTCGCTCATTCTATGCATTTAATACAATAAATTATTTTTATTATTATTATTATTTGATATTTAATTAAACAATATTGTATTTGCTAAAGAATATTATTATTTACAGTACCTTAAATGTAGAATAACTTCTATTATCCAATGATGTAAGGTAATGTGCATGTGGAAGTCTTCCATGTATTCGAACCATTAAACGTATCAGCAGATATGTAAATGAAAATAATTTATATAGAGAAATATATGATAATTTATGGTACGTGCCTGTATGTAATTATTAAATATATAGTTATTATTTTAATAATAAAAAAAAAATATTTAATTATAAATAATTATAATAATAATTATGTTTTTGTTCAAGCATAAATTTCCATTCTTGAATATTCTCAGCTCATCCATCATCGGACTATTAATTAGGTCGGACGTGGATGAATTTATAATGTTACGTGCTAGAACAAAAAACTGTTCAATTTAATTTTATGTAGAAAAAAAATTTTTTTTTTCTGATAGGTATATAATACTTGATATGCAAACGTTTTTCTTGCATTAATTAAAAAAAAAAAAAACATTGAAATAATTACATTAAATAGCGTGTAAAATTGGAATTACATCATTTACTTGTAAATTTTCGAAAACAGTAAAATTCGAAAAGTGATGAGAAGACTTTTTACTTAAAGTTTATTTAAAAATAAAAAAATAAAAAGGAATATATAATAAAATAAAATGAAATTAAGAGGAGAGAAATAGAGAACAAACTCAACCGCCCGGGCACACCTCTATTAGGCTTCCACTTACCCCCTCTGCACTTTCTCCGATCATTTGTTTTCCGAAAACGTATGTAGCCATATATCCAACGACATACTTTTTACAAAGGCTTGTTTTATGAAGCAAATAATTACGACTCACGTATCTCCTCAATACGATAACCCTGTAATTTGTATTGAGCAACATGATTAACTTTTTTACAACTATAGTGCCAACCTTACAATGATATTTTCTTATTTCTTTAACTACTACCTTCACATTTTAACACCATACTTTGTAATTATTATACTCTTTATACTTAATCATTATTACATATTTAACCCAACACCCCATATTATTATTATTATTATTATTATTATATATAGTATAAATTTTTGTACAAATTACGCCAAAAATAACAAAAAGACAAATTGCGAATATATCAATGAGTAATAGACAAATTTCTAAATTAAAATAAAACAATCAATTATATATTTAATTAATTCAACTAATCATTCCACGAACGAGCATCCAACTAAAATCACTTAACAGAAGTCCCTTTCACCGGACACTTTGACGAGTTTAATCTCGTATTCAGAAAATACAAGCGTGTAACGGTTAATCGAAGGCCAACTAATTCGCGATTATCTCAATCTTTGAAAATAAACGTTAGGGAATATTAATTTATCGACTTGTTCATTGATCGTTAAAAAAAAAAAAAAACAACTTTGAACAATTTTTTACTTTTTCTTACTTCAGCTGAAAATAAATTCTTATTTTTCTTATTACTATTAACTATTTTCTCCATTCATTTATATCCAATAAAATTTCCTAGTTTACTCCTTATAATTCGAAACTTCAAAGGAGAACTTCATTTTTCTAAAAATTTAATTCAACTTATTTTTTAAATGACATATCATTGTTAATAACTCAATTTTACTATCCAAAATGTGTTGAAACAAAATAATATTGTCATTATAAGAATAATAAATTAAAGTTATTATGATAATTTTACAATATTAACATGCTTGGTGAGTCATGATAAATAAAAAACATTGTAAAACAAAACAGTAATAAATAATTGCACTTATTATTCAAATTGTTCTTTAAACAAATATTAAATATTATTAAAACATCGATATAAGTGTAGGAGGAAAATAAACATTGGATTGACAACACAAGGAAATTTGCAGTAGCGAATGGAGGAAGTAATTTTTGTATATGATGCTTAAGAGAGATTTATTGAAATTGAACGTTTTCTAATATATCGTTGGATTTCAAATGATCAACCCACTCTCGTATTATGCATAATCGAAAATACTTATTTCGGTTCATTTAGCGAAATATATATATATAATAAATATATATATTCTCTGTGTGTATATATTTATATGCTTCAAATTTAAATAAATATTTGACAATATAATTAACATCGTTATAGAAGATTAATTTATACAACATTGCGTAATGTTTTTTTTTTTTTTTTTACATATTAATTACAGTGTTTGCATTGTTTCATAAAAGATATAGGAAGATCAAACTTTCCAGTATACCAGTAATATTCTCTTTTAAGTTTTTACATTTAGAAAATTAATTATATTGTATATAAAATATAATCACAATTTTTAAAAGGACAGTTTTCAACGATTATTACATATACATATGTAGAGATGTTATAGTAGAGATTAAAATTCTATAAATAAAATATATAAGTATATTCGCATTAATCTATTAGGAATAATATGGAAATTTGTAGACGCAATTAAATCGGTTCTAAAATATTAAAAATTTTAAAAGTTCTTCTTAACGAAAACGAAAATATATATATATATATATATATATATATA